TCTTTAGTTCAATTTGCCATCGGGTGTCCCAGGTTGCCTGTCGTTGAGTATCTTCCAGACAGGGATCAGGCAATGCTTAGGTTTCAAGGAGACACGCTGGCAATCAATAGCAGCCATTTACAGAAACTGGTAAGCCAAAAATATTGTGGTTTTTGAAAATACGAAGTTTCTAATCGAAAATGACTACTAATTCATTCTAATTCACCTGATTTTTTGGGACAACTCTACACATGTGAAAGAAGTTTCAAAGTTTAGAAGAAAATTATTCCATGTATGAATAAAAATTGCCATTTAGACTCTTGTAAGCTATTTAAAAAAAAAAATGATATCCTTCTATTGACTTGCTTTGACATTTGATTCTTTTCTACAAGGATCAAGAACACTGTCTGAGAATAAACTCTGACAAATATGATCACAATAGGAGTGCCTCAAGGTTTTATTTTCGGGCCGATTTTCTTCATCATTCATTCAAACTATAATAGGTCTCATCTGAAAGTATTTTTTTTTCTACATTGTGTCTCCGGATTAATCAATTGTGTATCTTACCTATACAAATGTTAGGACGGAAGACTGTAAAATGGGGGATACCTAATATACAGAGCCTTTATTTATATTCGTTTTTTTTTCAATTTCAGGAACACCTATACAGGCACAGTTGTTTCGATGATAGGAAATTTGAATTGTTCATCCCAAGAGTGTGGGTGATGTTGAAAAGATATGCCACCTTTCTTGGAGTCAATCCTTCGTCGAATACAGCCAGTTCAGATGTCCAGGACACCCAACAATCTCTCCCGGTCACTGTATTTGAATGTCTCAATCGGGCATTTGGTGTTACTTTTGAATGTTTTGCTTCCCCTTTGAATTGCTATTTCAAGCAGTACTGTTCAGCTTTTGCTGATTGTGATTCCTATTTCGGCAGCAGAGGGTAAGATATTTTTCATTCTCATAGATAGATATATGCCTAACTACTTTGCACATTTTTACATACATTTGTTGCAGTGAAAATTATATAAAATGGAAACTAGTAGATATTTTTACAATCTACCGCACAAACAGTTAATGGTAGGACATAGTTTAAAAGACACATAGTTAAGCAGAAAAGTATTGCAAGGGTTATTTCATTAAATTAGGCATAAAAGTATGAATAAATATATATTTCTCAACCACTTTACAAGCCAGTTTGGAAAACCAAGGGCCTCAAATTCAGATAACAAGACTGAGTGATTACAAGACTCAAAGACTTTGGTTTACAACCGATATCGAAATTTTTTATTTAATTTAAGGAAAAGTAGGTCAGGAATATACACGGTGTCACTGATAAGAACATCGAAATAATATGGTCTCAGAAAACAATATTACTGCCTTCACAAGAGGTATTTTCTCACAGTTTTCCAATTTGAAAGAAAAAACTTCAACTTTCTCATAAGCCTAATTTACGAAAAATTATTCAAATGTATTTTGTTGGCAACGATGGTAGTTAGGAAGGTTTTATAAAGGTAGACATGTAGTTACACTTGATCCATGTAAATACTTCCCAGATGGTGGATGTTAGAACATTGGTTGTTATAACAACAGATTTATATGCTCATGTGTACATGTTAATGTGTTTCCTTGTGATACACATTTATCCATTTAATCAAAAATGAATGTAATCGTGGTTATGACTACAATTTTTATATTCCAAAAACACTTGATGTGGTTATCAATTTATTTCACTTGACTTTTTTTAGGTCTTTCCTCAAATTGAAAGCGGTATCAGGCTCCTTTGAAGCGAATCCCCCATACAGCGAAGAACTGATGGAGGCATCTGTGAATCATATGGAAAGGCTGTTGAGCGACAGTCCGGAGCCTTTGAGTTTCATTGTCTTCATGCCGGATTATAGAGAACCCACTCCAAATGCGCTGATTAGGTTAGAGTCTAGCCAGTTCAAGAGGAAACAGGTGACGATACCAGCTTATGAGCACGAGTTTAGGCATGGTTTCCAGCATGTGTTGAGCAAGTGAGTGAATTAATACTTCTTTAGTTCTATATCTAAAGTTCTTAGGCCCAATGTCACTGACAAAATCAGATATTTAGTCAATCCAATTTTTATGATAATAATAATATTAATATATTTCAGAGAATGCTCTACATTTCATAAAGAAAACATCAAACATAAAATGAAACAACGTCACACAATTTCTATATAAAGTGAATAAGGTTCTAACTTGATCAAAAGCTCTTTGACACCTGTTGTGTTGTGGAATTGGCCGCGGTGGTAGTGCGCCCGACTCACGATCGGAAGATCGTGGGTTCGATTCACGCCTCGACCAGATATTTTTCTCGAGAGAATTTATCTGGTTGAAGCTGGGATGATTCTGCAACCGTGTTAGGAATCACACGTTAAAAGGTAAGACCTCGTTAGTCCTTAGCTCGCACAAGTTTCCCAACTTCTGAGAGTTGTCGTTCGTATGGGGGCGACAGCTGATTAACGGAAAAAACAGAACAGAACCTGATTTGAATTTTTTCAGGGTCTTTAACATTTTAAGTCTCTGTTTCAATTCATTGAAAAACCTTATAGATGCATAGTATGGATGCCTCTCTGACACTGTCCATTTGTGAATTGGAAAATATATATTCATATTGCGCTTAGGATAATTATGACTTGTTCTATCTTCCAAAAATCTACTTTCATTTTTAAATAGGTATACTACAATCTCATAGATATAGATCGCATATACTGTCAAGATATTATTTGCCTTGAAGATTCCCAGAATTATAATATGCTTATAACAATGCAAGTGTTCCTTAACATATATACCATCTCAAAAAATTTTGAGAAAGATGGTAAAACGCTTATTGGTTGAAAATTCTCATATAACTCGCAATCTCCTTTCTTATAGATGGGTCTTATCAAAGCAACTTTCAATTGTTCGAGAAAGATTCCATGTTTAAAAGAGTTATTAATTATATGGCAAATAATACTAGCAACATTATCAATACATAATTCCACCAAACTAACTGGTATTTCGTCATCACCACAAGTATGTTTGTGTTTAATTGTCTGTGCCAAATTCTTTATTTCATTTTCGGTTATAGGTTTAAGAAAAATTGATTGTGAATTATTTATGAAGTTACAAGTGAATTCAGTTTTATTTAGTTTCTCAAGTAGTTCAGGTATAATGTTCAATAAAAATTCATTATATCGATTGGCCGTGTTTGTTGGATTCCCTTCAAATACATGGTTTGAAGCATACTATACATGCATATGCATACTATATCTTTATAAATACTCCACACACATTTCATTTCATTATCAGATGTTATTTTTTCTTGGTAGAAATCTTCTCTTTTCTTTTTCAGCAATTGATTGTACTCTTTTTTTGTTGCACTGTAAGCTCCTCTCAAATCCGTGTGGTATCTTGATATAGAAATTGTTGAAATATTTCATGTATGAAAGTTCATCTAATGAGTCGAACAAGAGCTTCTAGAGCACAGTCTGGTAAATTTTCAAATATTCTGATTGATCATCAGTTCCAAAGGTGTTTTTTTTATTATTATTATTAACACGCTTTCATTAGCTTCACCTGTATGTATGTATGTTTGTTTGTAACTCTCAAGCTCGGTATCTGTATTTGACAAAATTATCGACATTATTGCTTGATCTATTCGCGGGCAGATGGCGCTTTTCGCAACCTCCTTGATATAATTTGAACTCAAACTTCGAAAAAAAGGAAAAAAATGGTAGGTGTTTATTATCAATGTGTAAAAATTAATGAAGTTTATTGGTGGATCCCCAGAAACAATTAATTCAATAGAATATTTTTGTGCTTATGAAATCACATTCAGATATTTTGTTTCAGATCAGAATTGAACGTGAGATCAGTTCAAGGAACAGTAATTGTCTGGCTGCAAAACACAACAGGTCATCAGAGATGGGAACCGTCCGAAGATCGGGTGCAGGCACTCTTGGAGGCATTCAGGCCGGGTAGGGAAAGGGAACGTGATCGACAGGAATTGCTCAGCCCTACGAGACAAGGCAGCACATCAGATGCCAAAGATGTAGTGGTGCATTGACACTCTTTCGAATGGGTGTGGTTAGTGATTGCATTTTCGTCTTTTTTCTACTTGCCAAATCACAGGGTGAGAAAATGGGTGAATGGTATACAGGGCTGTGTCGAGAGAAGGAGCGAGAGAATTTTTAGTACTCAGCATCGTAGAGATTGAGCAAATGATGACGCCGGAATGTTGATATCCTCACTTTTTAACATTAGTTGTCTACTCGGAAACTCAGATGAGAAAGATTTTTAAATTGCCTCTTTTCGACATATTATTTTTTGTTTTAACTTGCAAAACGAAAAAGTTTGTTATACGGGGCAGGTGTGAAACTTTTTGAGATTCAATGGATTTCAGTCGGTAGACTTTATTCTTTCAAGTGATCATGGCATAGGTATGTGTTTCACTGTCGCTATAATTTTCTATGACTCTTTTTTGAGCTAATTCGGACTTGTATTATCTAAAAATTCAAAGGTGTGCTAAGCAGTTCAACAATTTTCAATGAAAATTTGAATAGTGGTATTTCATAACGACTTCAAATTTTTCGATAAAATTGCGATATTACAAAATCAATATAAAAATTTAAAAAGATACTGCATTAATCTTCATGTAAAACTGTTTTCAAGCAAACTTTATAAGTTTCAAGAACATGTTTTTAACCGACTTTTTCTTGATGACAGTTTCATTTTCACTGTATCTCCCTCTTAAGCTGTTATACAGGAATTTCTAGAAATGAATCCACTAAAAGGGATTCAAAATAAGCGACACCCCCTGGTGTTGTTCAGCGAACTAAAGACATTTACTTTGTTAATCTTAGTACCCTGAATATGTGAGTATTTTTGTCGCTGTCATCACCATATTCTATAAGGATTGAATGGTGTCCAAGTTTTATATTTCGAGAAGAGTGTTTCAGTTCTGGTGTTTGGGAACAGTGCCTGTTTTGGACTTATTCTGAGCCAGAAGTTCCAGTTCTACCTTTCAGTTTATACTTCATTGTTGGCATCATTGAATTTGTGTCAATTCATTTAATTCCATCCTTACCCATTAAATGGAGCAATGCATAATTTTTGTGGTTTAGTTCAAAATTGACCGTATTTGATGGGGAATAACTGTTGAATGGAACGATTCACGAACATCAAATATCTCAATTATTTTGTCAAATGTCATTGACAGTCATGACGATAATCATGAATGCCAACAATGAAATTGAATTGAAGATGGTCAATTCTTGAATTTTGGATGACTGAAGAAGATTTTATTGACTATCACTCTTTCTTGATTTGAATCAATATGAGTGGTTCAGATTTAAAGATTTAACCATTATTGCTGTGTCCTTCAGTATGACTCAATTTTCACAGTTTTCCCCCAAAAAAAAAAAACAAGATAAAGTTTTAGTGGAGACTAGTTTACAATTTAGAGGAAGACAAACGAAAAGTATGAGTAAATGTGTTGAAAATTAGGAAACCTGCCGCCACTATTCAAGCCAAACCTCACAGAAACATGTTTGACTTTAGACCATTTTGTAACTTTTTTGCCTTTGAAACTGAATCGATTAATTGCCAATGAAAATAAGTTATTCAGGTACAGTAGAACCTAACACAATTAATAGAAATCAACGTAAAACAGGAGTTTTACGTTGCAAAAAAATGAAAGCACTTCTATAAATCCACATACTTAAAAATATATATTGTTGAAAGAATCTAAAGAAATGAACTTTAAACGTTCAAGCCAGTCTCAGATATACCTACACAGTAGGTTGAATGGATAGGCTCTGATAGGTTCTGATAGGCGTCAGTCCATTCAACCTACTGTGTATTTATCTGAAACTGGCTTGAATATTCAAAGTTCATTTCTTTAGATTTGTTTACTGCCAGTCTTCACATAGCCCACTGACTAATAAGAAAATATATTTTGTCAACATCAAGATGGATATCTTATTGAACAACACACCTAAGAAATATTCACTGGGATTCAAAATTTCATGAATTGCAGATCGAATTGCATGTATAACCTACATGCAACATACACATTTGTTTTCCTTGATGTTTTCTACTGCATATGAACCTTTGAAAAGTCTCATTAGCCAATAAGTTTTATTTATAAATTTTGCCTATAAATTGAATGAATAGTCAGATGTTTCTGTGATAGAGACAAATCCGTTACAGATATGATCTAAGAACAACTTTCAGAAATACCAAAATATTGAGATCTCTTTTGACACAAACTAAACATGAAATACGATTGAAAAAACAAAATAGTGCATTCACAATAAACCTTGTTCCTGTGGAAAAAGTTATAAGGGTGAAACCTCAACACCCCTAGATATAGGGAAAAAAGAATATCGTGAATAAATAAAGAGAGAACAAATATTACGCAGTAACTTTTCAGGGTCAACTTTTTAGTTTACCCTATATTATTTATACTTCAGAAGATTCTTTATTGATTTAGCTTTGTTTAATATTCAGATTCTGAAAGTATTCCAATCGAAAATGCCTTTTTTTGGAAATATTTCTATTTATTTTTTACAAACGTCCAAAAGAATAGACATATTTGACGTTTGTCAAAAGGAATAGACATATTTCCAAAAAAGGCGTTTCCAATAACAATATTTTCAGATTTGGAGGACCGAAAAGTATTATCTTTTGAAACGTCAGACATTTTTCAATTGAAATTTCACAGGCAACACAAGTTACAGATTAATTAGACTTTTCAAAGGTTTATATTATTGGTAACTTTTCGAGGTGAACTTTTCAATTTATCCTCTATTACACCTGACAGCAGATTGTTTGTGAATCTATATTCATTCCTTTTTTTAAATTTTGGAAGATTGAAACCCAAGGTTCCAAACTCTACTTATCTTTTTATGAAAAATAATGTTTCTGAGCCTATAATTTTCATACCAAAAGATAACACGTTTATAATAGATAATATTATTTTTAGTTTTCTATATTTGCTTTGAATCCTAATATTCAATTTAAGGTCACCAACACAATCCTCCCTACTGTTTTTTTTTAATATCGAAAAGAATCTTTTTTTTTTTTTCATTTAAAATAATCAATATCACAAATGGTTTGAAATAGACAATGGACAAATGCACGGACAAAAAATATGGGATTATGGACTGAAAAATCGAGTTGAAATTTGTTCTGTGATTCACCATACAACAAAATTTTAATATGCCAGGTCTGTACTTTTGAACTTGTCTTTGATTTTGTGTAACGTTTCTGTTTTTATTGGTGCAATAATGAAAGTAAGGTAACTATTCAGTGAATTGTAAAATTAGGTTATTTCTATGCAATTATGCTTTCTCTATTGGTGCTCATAAGTTCTATTTTTGATTAAATTGAAAGGGGGCACATTTTTAGGAGATATTAATTTTTGCGAAAGAAATGTTGTGGCTTTCTACTTCTCCATCTTTATACACTCAAAATGTGTAGATCATGCAAAGAAGTAAGTTTCAGACACAAACTGGAAGAAAAGCCCTCTCAACTATCTATCTATCTATCTGTACTCTTATTTCTTCAAAATTAAAATTAGAGATAATAATAGTACAAATTCATCTCCTGACACCAAAATTGAGTATTCTTAATTGACTTCAATACTTATAAGAGAAGATGCCAATATATGATTCATTCCATTTGAAAAATAGTTGGTTTTGTTTTTTAACTTTTCGTAATCAGTTAGGAAAAGCGAAACTGTTTGTGAGTGGTTACAAAAAATAAAGCAAGCAATTTTGAAATGTATCATTTTATATGTCAAAATCAGAAAATATACAAGGTGTCTCAAAAGCTGACTTCCAAACAAAAGAAGGTGGTTGGGAAGATCGTATCCAACCAAAATAACTGTATTTATTATTATTCAGTTATTGGTGGTTCAAAAGTTGTTGCCTGTCCTGTGTTTTCAATAAAAATCTCTTCGTGCATTCAATAATTGTGGGAAACTTCCAAAGCAGTTAAGTTCAAAATAAACTCTTTACAAAGATCATATAAGTTACTTTCAGATACAAACTTCAGATAACATTTATTTTATAGCATTTTTAATTTTATGTCTAGGAAGAGTTACATACTGTTGTCCAAAAACGTTACCTTGATAATAATGATATAATACATTTTTTATTCCAGTCAGGTCATTTACATGATATTGGACCAGTCAAGTCAAGAACAGTATATATACAATCATATAAAATGACAATATTGAAACTATTGAAGTTATTAATAACAACCAGGGCATCCAGGTGTCATAACTCACGTTATCTTTTTGCCCATGAATTCTGATATGTCATAGTAACATTCATTGCATAGAAAGTTTATAAGCTTTCTTTTGAAAACATTGACGTTGTCTTGCTATCTTATACAGGCAGGCAGATGATTCAGAAATTGAATTCCTTTGTATATTGGGCTTCTCGCATACAGACTAGTTCCACGTTTAGGAAGCCTAATAAGTTTCAAGGATCGAGTTGGGTAGCCGTGATGATCAGAATTGAGAGAAAAGTTACGATTATTACTCTTTGTATGTAGAGTGCATTTGTAGATGTAAATAGAGAAAACTGTGAGAATTACATGTTCTTTAAAATGATTACAACATCAAGCACAAAAAAAATATTTCGCTTTCTTTGAAACACATATTTCTATGGAGGAGTCAATGCTTCTACGTGTTTTTTTTGGGTGTTTAATTTTCCACTGTCTGTAGTACCTTACTTTCTTTATATGGTAGTCGTTTCGGAAAATAAACCTTATCCGTTTTCAAAGCTCAAAAAATTTACTTTCGAACAACGCCTCAATTGTAAATTGATGTATTTCCTTCGACATACCTAAATAGAATGAGATGTTCAGATGTCATACGTGATAGTTTACATGAGAATTCAGTTTAGGTTCATATTTGCTGATATGATAATCAAAAAATCGATAAATACTCTTGATAGAAGTGTCAATCGAAAGAAAACTCATACTTATAGATATCCCCTCAATGAATCGAATCATCACGCTATAGTAATATGTTTGTATGATATGGCTGAGGCAGTACTCATACTCTGGAAAAGGTAGTAAATATCATTGAAACTGTTTTGAAGGAAATTGCGTATCTGGAATAGTTAAAAATAACAATGAAATGAAATTAGTTGGATTGAACTTTTTTTTTTACTTTTTTCAACTGTTTGCAATACTAACCAAATTGTACTAAAAGTCCTTGAATCTTGAGTACCTGAAAATTCATAATTTTATTGTTCTAATTAGAAAACCATTTTTGAAATATAATTCAATATTTTTAAGACATTGAGATTTTTATTCTAATATAGTTTAGTGAGGAGAATAACAGACCTTATTTTTAACAAATATCTCATGTACATAAATATAAATNAATTTCTATTTCGGCAAACGTTAGTGCATGTTTCATAACCATATTTAATGAACTTAGACTGGATTTAAGGTAAACATACACGGCAGGTCAAGAGAATTTGAAATTCTTTCACGTATAAAGTGCTTTCATTTCGAAAAATAGAACAAAATGTTTTCAAATTTGGTATGCTGAAATTTAAAGGAATGGCATTCTTTTGATTTTTTTTAATTTGAGTTTCTTCCATATAATAGATATATCTTATCAGTACTCCGAAATTTCCAAAATATCCACAACCAAATCACACTGGGGCAATCTATCTGAAACTGAAGCCCGTTGCGTTGGTAGAAATGAATATATTTCATCTTCATCTTTGTTGCAATAATATTCAACATTATTCAATAATTTTGTAAACATTACTCACAATAACCTGCATATGAATTGAACTATGAAATTCTCAAGATGTTTCTATTAGAAGTAGGTAAACGTGCCAAAACTGATGTCACTTTAGCTGAGCAACTGAACAAAGTAGAAAGAAAGAAATCGAATTGATTCATTTATTTCCCTCTCATTCTCGCATTTAATTACGCCACCATCACATCCTACTTCCCCATCACAATGTGGTGGCAATAAAAGCTGCCGCTCCACGTTCCCCCCTCGCGATATCCGATCTCCCACAAAGACAACACGATTCGGAGAGTGCAACGCTTCGCCGAAGAGGAGTTTGAACCCGGGCCCCACGAAACTAGGGTAACGCCGAAATTGTGGCCTGGTACGGCACGTGTACCCGCTCTCTACAAAAATATAACACTTCCAACGTTTTTGTCACCCCAACTTCGACCCTGTGCACCATGCCACAAGGCACTCTTTCCCTTAGCGAATATAGTCGGTGGTGATTTAACAATACCTCGAAACGCATTTGCCAGTGTTGCCAGAACCAAATAAATTTCTCTGGATTTGAAAAAGTTCACGACGATTTTGTGTTCCTATCATGAGAAATACGAAGGGAAATTGAAGTCACTAATAATATTGATATTGATACTGATAATTTTGGATGGAGCGTACTTCTAATTTTTTCACTTACTCTTTATACGAAATTCCTGGCCGATTGATCCTTGAAGAATAAAGGTGTCAAAATCAGAAGAAAAGCGACAAATTCACAATATGGGTTCTGTGATAAATAAGTTGAACAAAAAATAAGAAGATGATGAGAGAAGTGCCTCATGTAGTTTTTTGTTGCAGATTCATCTATTTCAGATTATTACATCCACAACAACCCTGATGTCAAAAAATTCAGAGGAAAATGGTGACTGACAATGCTAGAAAAGGTTTTTATTCTAAACTAAGTCAACCTGAACACAATTTGAAATGTTCAAACAGAGACCACTATTCATTAATACTAGTGAAAATAAGA